CTTAACCAACTGAGCCACCCAGGCGCCCCTATCTTTCCTATTCTTGTATTGATAAATTTTTTATTCCTGTTTACTCTCTCCACCACCAAAATGGACATTTTGTAATTTTATTCTTTTAGTGATTATCCTTAATTCATTTAGTATTCAGTTTTTAAATTTCAAATTTTTTATTATTACAGGAGCCATATATGTGGATGGTGCAAAATTAGATAAAATAAAATCAAAACTAAAATAAGCAAAATAAAACATAAGAACACAACATTCCCACCACACATAGATCATGACTGTTACTGCTTAAGTGAGTGTATATGTATTTTTAGGATAGTGAAACCATGATGTACATGCTCTTTCGTACATTTTTTCTGTCAGCTACCCCATTTTTTCCCCACATATGGAAATAACCTTCTGATACATTTTCATTTCTTCTAATACCAAGGTCATATGCAGGTTTTCACGGTTGACCCCAAATTTCCCTTTATACCTGGTCTGGCTAAGCTGGTGCCCAATCAAAGCTTGGCACCTCGTTGTTATGCTTTTTCAGTCTCTCTTAATTTTAGTCCAGTGCCTTTTTAATGATGCTAAGTTAAAATTTTTGTTTACCAAGATAAAACTCACATAACATAAAATTTACCACGTTAAAGTAAATTGAATATTAAAAGCAAAAAGAAGTAGGGGTGCCTGGTTGGCTCAGTCAGTTAAGCATCTGCCTTCAGCTCAGTCATGATCCTGGGGTCCTGGGATCGAGCCCCACATCGGGCTCCCTGCTCAGCGGGAAGCCTGCTTCTCCCTCTCCCTCTGCCTGCTGCTCCCCCTGCTTGTGCTCTCTCTCTCTGTCAAATAAATAAATAAAATCTTTAAAAAAAATAAAAGTAAAAAGAATTAATTAAGGATAATCACGAATAATTCAGGGGCTTTTAGTGTTTTCATGATGTTGCGTATACACGACCAGAACATTTCTAACATCCCAAAAAGAAACCCCACATCTCCCAACTGCTATCTGCTTTCTGTCTCTATGGATTTGCCTGTTCTGGATATTTCTTATAAATGGGGTCATGCAGTATGTGGCCTTTTGTGTCTGACTTTTTTCATTTAGCCTGATGTTGTAGAACATATCAGTACTTCATGCTTTCTATGGCCGAATAATATTCCATTCTATGGATAGACCATGTCGCTAACTTTTTGAAAAGACTAGGCGCAACTGACTTGGCCTTGAATTTTCACTATCTTCGCTTTGCTTTTTCTAGCAAAGTCGAATCAATGCCTTTGGCCCCCCTTCTGAAGGAGACAGGGCCTGTAGAATGCTTCCATTTCCCTCTAAACTCTCTCCTCTAGTCTCCCTGCTTGTTTACAAATTGCTCGAAGTTAGTTAATGTGGGATTTTAGTCAGTACTCATTAGGGTTGTAGGCAATTAATTTCTTTGCTCACTGTTGGTTTTTGCATTCTACTTTTTGCTTCTGAGTTCATCTTTAAGATCTTTTGGTGACAATCTTGGGGTGGTAAACTCTTCTAGGTTTTGTGTGTGATTTTATCTTATTTATTTTTATGATCAGCAAGATAGCAGAGTGTTAAGACCCTTGACTTTGAAACCAGATTCTGAGTTCAAATCATAATTTCTCTTAGCCTGGGTTTCCTCACCTGTAAAATGGACCCCCAAAATGGTATTTGCCTGTCTTTCTTGTAGTATCGTAGAGGACAAAATGAGTTGTGTGTGTATAGTGAGTAGAACTGAGCTCAGCACAGAGTAAGTGTTAACCATTCAGTGCCAACAATTAGTATTCTGATCGTGGGTGTGATCGAGGACCGCCCGCCCCCCCCCGCCCACGATCAGACTGGAGCCCCTGGAGAGCAGGGACCCTGTCTATGCTGTGCACCATTGTGACCTTGAAGGCTGATACATAGTAGGTGTCCACAGATGCTGACTGCAAACAGCGAGCAAACAAGCATCCAAGTGAAGGGCTCTGTGTCCGCAGGCATCCATCATGACGGGCACGGTGCAGAGTGTGGCCCTCGAGGGCAGGCCCAGCCACCGGCCCTGGCGGAGGGGCCAGGAGGCACGAGCGTCCCCTGAAGAGATGCAGGAGCTGCTGCTGCCGACACCCTTAGAGATGCACAAGGTGGGCGCTGGGGCTGGGCATGGGAAGCCTGGATGCGTGGCCTGGTGTCGTGAGGACCCACCAGGGGCTCCAGATGGGCCCACCCCTCTCTGGGCTTCATTTTTCCTCCACCAAACACAATTTTGTACTAGGTGGAACTTGTCAAATTCTCACCATTTGGGTGATACACACACACCCCTGTGATACACACTGGGCTGCTATGAATATTTTTCTTTAAGTAGACTTTTTCCCCACTTAAGATAGTGTGTGTGTATATAAAATAGGAACACGTTTATATATGAAACATGTATATGTGTGTGTGTGTGTGTGTGTGTGTGTGTGTATATATATCATATATATCAGTTATCAGTTCCTTAAAGGAGAAGCCAGCCTCCCTTGCCATCTGTAGGTTACTATATAGAAAAACAAAGGAGAAGAAACCTCTCAGCCAGTAGCCCTCAGAAGGCTCAGAGTCTCTTGCTATTTGAGAGATGAGCAAGTGTTAGAGGGGTGAAAACCCGTCGATACCCCACCGAGACTTTCTCCTGGGGGGAAGGGAGAGGATTGAAGAAGAACGGAGAAGGAACCCCTTCCCCGGCTTCCCCACTGTCACTGGTGCCGGGAACCGGAAGTTGTCTGCCATGGAGAACGCGAGGGGGCGCTATGTGGTAGTGGCAGGGAGCGCGGCTGGGCAGTGGGCGGGGCGTGGGTCCCACACCAAGGGATTTGGGCTGCTGTGGGGAGCTGGGGACAAAGGTCAGAGCTCCAGGGACTTCCTCCTCCTTCTGTTCCCAGGTGACCCTGCACAAGGACCCCTTGCGGAATGACTTTGGTTTTAGCGTCTCTGACGGCCTCCTGGAGAAGGGTGTCTATGTCCACACTGTGCGCCCTGATGGGCCAGCCCAACGTGGGGGCCTCCGGCCCTTCGACAGGGTTCTTCAGGTAATGCTGGGCTGGGGGCACCATGATAGTGTGGCCTTTCCTTGCCTCGGGGGAAAGAGCCCCACTTCCACCCTGGCTGAGTGGCCTTAGGCCGGTCACCTTCTCTCTCTGAGCCCCGGCTTCCTCATGTGCGAAGCGAATAACAACACCAGTCCTATGGGCCCGTTAGGCTCAGTTATGTTGCACTAACAACCCCGAATCTTAGTGGTTAACACACGAACCTTTATTTGTCCGCTGGGGGGCGGCATAGGCTTGCTCCGCCAGGCTGGTGGGGGCTCTACCCTCTGCAAATGCCTTCGACCATGTGACCTAGGAACCGAATCTGGAAAACCACACGTGGGTTTTTTCCTGCCTCCACCCAGAAGCAACACCTGCCACTGCCCTTTATGGCCTATTGGCCAGAACCAGTCACGTGACCTCGCTAACTGCAAGGGAGCCTGGGACATGCGGGTGAGCCCAGGGAAAGCTCTGGGACAGCCCTCGCCCAGCCACACTCCGCTGCTTTTCCCTCGCCCCAGCTACTTTTGTTCCTTTGGTGTGATTTCTGCAATGTTAGCGCTACATTTACTGAATATGTTTCCTTTAAATTGGTGGAGTTTTTCTGACTTAAATTTATTTTGAAAAGAAGCTTTTCATGTCATTTAGGAATGAAAGACCAGCACCCCTTGCTTGACATAGAAGGTCAGTGTGAAATAAAAATAAAACAGAAACAAAGCAATGTCACCAATTCTAGGCAGGAAGCTGAGTGTGTGGTCTGCTCTTTCATGAAAAAGGGAGAGAAGTAGGTGTTAGAGGAGCAGGAAGGATGTCCTGGCACCTCCTTCGGGGTTTCTCTTTGATAAAACCTAACCAGAAGAATTGAAAGAGAGCTCGATGAAGGAGGACTTCTCTTTGAGTGTGCTCTAGGTTTACCCTGTATGTGGGCTGGGGCCGGGCCCACACTGGAGGACATCTCAATGATTCCTACCTTCTTCAGCCCGGGCTCAGCTGATGCCCGTCTGTCCCCTTGGCTGTGTTCCCTGCAGGTCAACCATGTTCGCACGCGGGACTTTGACTGCTGCCTGGCCGTGCCGCTCCTGGCGGAGGCAGGTGACGTCCTGGCGCTGGTCATCAGCCGCAACCCACTGACCCAGAGCGGCCGAGCCCCACGAGCACCAGGCCCCAACAGCCCCCGGATGCTTTGAAGTCAGCACGTGGTCTGGACACCCAGGGTCCTCGGGAGTAGGTCCTGGCCCCCAGACCTGTAACTGGGCTGGAGACCTGGCCACTCACTTATCCATCTGTCCGTCTGGCAGGCTCTGAGCCACGGACTGGAATCTGTCTCTATTCTCTGGTTCTCTGGTGCCTGGAGTACCAGGCAGTGAGGTCCCTGCCCCAATTGGAGTGACATCTAGGTCTTTCTCCATGTTGGGACTCCAAGATGTCCAGAGGAGCCCCACTCAGTTGGGGTTGAGACAGGCTGCTCAGCTGGAAGAGGGGCCCTGGGGGCTAGGGAGCCCAGCTACTATAGGGAGTGCTTTCTCCCAGCAGAGCTATGGAGTTGCCAGGGAGGAGTGAGCTCCCTGTCACAGGAGGTGGGCAAGTGGGAACCGGATACCCCCAGTGCATTCATGGACTGAGGTATGAGGCATCCGGGCAATGGGTCCACACAGGCTCAGGTAGTTAGCTTCCCCATAGGGGGAGCATTTAGGGTGCACCTGGGGGGCCACCTTTTCTGGACAGCCTCCCCCCAAGAGGGATGCCACTCAGGGTGGCAGCCTAGCCCCTTCCCTACTCCAGAATTCTGGTGTTTGGGGCTTGCTGGCATCCCCGCTTAAGAGGCTCTTGAGCTGGGATGGCTGAATCCCAGGAGACATTGGCCTGTTGATTCTGAAAGTGAGTGATTCTTTCATTTTGGCAGCTCTGGTCTGAAGCCTCCGGGATTTGAGACCCACAGTTCTGGGCCCTTTGGGCCAGCTGGGTGTCAGGCTTTGGGCTCTCAGCCCCTCCTCCTTCTTTTGTAGGAGGGGCAGGCAGAGATCCATATGAATACACCCCTCTCAGGCCAGGCCCCTCGCAATGGGAGGGAGTCATCTGGGACAGAAGACCCAGGAGTTTTCGTTCACCATTTCGGTGGAGATGGGAAAACCATAGAAGTATCACATATAAGATGATACAGCTCCTCTTCGATCTCCAAATCCATGAAGGAGGAGAGACAGGGAGAGGGAGGCACAGAGACAGACGTAGGCAGGCAGGAAAGCGATGGGCCATTCTCTCTCATGCCCAAAGGTGACAGTGTCCAAAGAGGTCATTTAAGAAAGTTTATTCCCACTTGAAATCTGAAAGCACCAGCATCCCTTAAAGTCATTGTCCTCATTTTCCGCAGACCAGAAATCCTTTTGATTTTGAGAAGGGCATAGGCCTTCACCTGGTGGTCTGGGCTGCAGCCCCAGGGATGGAGGTGGGCAGGCAGGATTCAGTCAGGGCTGGGGGGTTGCTTTGCTCTTAACGGGGGTCTCAGGAAAACGGGGCACCCACTCCTGCCCGCATCCTCCATGCTTCCGTCCCTTGGAGGCCCCCAAATCCTCTTCCACTCAAGGGACAAGATGGGGAGTCAAGAGGCTTGTTCTTTTTGCTCTGGGCTGCTGCTTGGTTGCTCTGTGACCCCTCTCAGTCTGCCCTTCTCTGGACAGTCTAGGGGTGGATAGTCTTTCTGAGCAGGTACGGGCCTCCCTGTCAGGGCCAGAACCATGCCCACTGGGCACCCTGCTCACACTCTCCCTGAGGGCCTGCATTCCCTCTTCTCCCTCCACTTCCCCACACCCTGCTGCTCCCTGCGTTCCCTGGAGAGCCCTCCATGCCAGGGCTGGACTGCCCAATGCCTCTGCTATCTTGGATTCCTGTGTAAACACCCGCCCCAAGGTGAAAAGGTACTGCCCCCCCCATCACAGGGGCACCGAGCAAAAGCCAAGAGCCCTCAGCCTGGGGGGCCAGGGGGTGCCACAGCAGAGACATGGCCACTGGCAGCCGCAGCTGTGTGAGCTTAGGCAAGTTGCCTAGCCTCTCTGGGCCTCTGTCAAGTGACAGGGCTGGACAGGCTGCACTCCCAGGGCCTCTCGGCTCAGGAGAGCTGCGTTCGACTGCCGGTGGGAAGAAGCATCCCCTCCCCGACCAGTGCCCCCTGCCTCCTCCGGCTGAGGCCTCTGCCATCTCCCAGACGTATGCAACCAGGCCCGGCAGGTGGCCCCTGGCCGTGGCCAGCCTTCTCATATGCAATATTCTGGCTTCTCATGGGGGTCATAGATCCCAGACTTGACATTTCCCGATGCCCGTCCCCGGTGAGCGTCCTGCCTGCCTATGCATTTTGGGTACAGCTCCTGTGACCTGCCCCTCCCACCCCCAAAAGCTGTATTTTTCTCTGGCTGAGATTAGAGCATATTCCTTGTAAAGTATTTTTCTACATGGGGTTTTCTTAGGGCTCTTGGAAACACAGGCCAAGGGGCTGTGTTGCAAAGGCCATTTGGGGTCTCTTTGGGGCCCGTGTATAAATCTGTTCTGCCAGGGGTTGCAGTGACTTAGGAGCTGGGGGGGGAGGGGCTGCTGTTGGGATGATTTTTTTTAAATAAAATTATTTAAATGCAACTAGATTGTGGTGTGTGCTTTTTTTTTTTTTTTTAATCATAGGCTGGCAATAGTCAACTTCTGTTTGGATCTTATGACATCTTCCCTGCTTTTAATTAATTCATCCATTCCAAAGGTCTGCTTGGGCTCTGCATCATTCCAGCCCCTGGGATAACAACATGAACACGACGGATGAGGGAGGTCCCGCCTGCATGGGGCTTAGATTCTCGGGTGGAAGATAGACAGTGAACAAGGGAGCAAATCGTAAAGGATTATTTCAGGAGGTATGGAGTGCAGTGAAAAAAACCCAGTCATGGGGATAAAGTGGGGGGCGAGAGCTTTAGCTCAGGGGTCAGGAGGGACTTCTCTGAAGAGGTGATATTTGGGCTGAGACCTTCAAGACAGGAGTCCCTTGGGGAGACCGGGAAGAACAGTGTCCCAGGCAGAGGGCACAGCAAGTGCAAAGGTTCGGAGGTGAGAATGAGCTTGGTCGGTTCAAGGAAGAGAAAGGAGGCCCAGAAGCAGAGTGGGGAGACCAGGTTGGAGGTTTGCAGGGCCCAGTGGTAAGGGTTTGGGTAGGGACTATGGATTTTGTTCTGTCAGCGGGGCGAAGTCAAGGAGGCAGGTGAGTGGTGGGTCTGCTGTATGGAGCCCCTTTAGCCTGGGTGTGGCCCCATCGATGCCCTGAGTCTTCACAGGGCAGCCAGGGCACGATGAGCCCTGAGGTCATGGCCAGGCCTCCCTGGGGGACCACAGCTCTGTGTGGGCAGAGGGAGCGCTTCTTCCCATCAACCATGCAGGATGGAGTGCGCGCCCCCATCTCTGGAGGTGTGCTAGCCTGGCTGGACCACGCTGGGGGCAACGACGTGGCTGGGCCAGGGAAGCCAAAGGCGAGCTGTGCATGGGTCACTGCGGCTCCTCCCAGGGCTGGGCGATAGGTTCAGGGCCCTTCCTCAAGGGGGAGAGAGGTGTGGGCGGGTCGTGACCAGGAGAGGCCCGTCCTACACACTGGCTTTGTGCAGGCATTGTTCTGCGTGCTTTTCAAGAATCCCCTGGGTCCTCCTGCAGCCTTCCGAGGTGGCTCTGTTATCATCCGAATGTTCTAGGTGAGGAAAGGAGGCACAGAGAGGTTAAGTAACTTGCCCTAAGTCACACGGGGAGTAAAGGATGGAGGTACAATTTGAACAAGTTATGTGGCCAAGGCACACAGGGAGGAGGAAAGTGGACAGAGGCCATCAGAAAGGCCAATAGCGGGGCGCCTGGGTGGCTCAGTTGGTTAAGCGACTGCCTTCGGCTCAGGTCATGATCCTGGAGTCCCTGGATCGAGTCCCGCATCGGGCTCCCTGCTCGGCAGGGAGCCTCCTTCTGCCTCTGACCCTCCCCCCTCTCATGTGCTCTCTCTCTCTCATTCTCTCTGTCTCAAATAAATAAATTTTAAAAAATCTTTAAAAAAAAAAAAAAAGAAAGGCCAATAGCCAGAAACAGAGCTGGGGGAGTGGTATTTTATTCTAACATTGTCTATAAATAATGAGTTACCAAGAGACCTTTTTTTGGTCTGGGAAGTTGGGGAAAGGACCCAGCAGCCTCCCCTGAACTTGCCCACACTCATTGATCTGCCCAAAACATCGACCTGCCCTGTGACCCCAGCGAGGCTGAGCCCCTCTCCCTGCCTCAGTTTCCCCATCTATAACAGTGGGTTGGGTACATGATTCCCAAGGCGGAGGACGTCTGTGCCAACCACTTATTTTCTGGGGTCCTGCGTGTCCTCCCTTTTGAGGCCCCAGTGTCTGTGGCATGATTTCTATTTGCATCCCTCTAGGGCTTACCCCCTCCCTGCAGCCTGCCCCACTCTTGGACTTGGCAATCAGAAAGCCCCTGCTTGGGCGTCAGTAAGTGACTACTCCTGGTGCGTCACCTCTAATCAGCCCAAAGCCTCAAAAGGGGCAGTGGTTTATTCCAAGTGGGGAAACTGAGGCTCGGGAGACCGATGTGAGCGGCCCCGCAGGGCTGGGTGTGCGGCAGGTGGGCTTCAGTCCCAGCGTCGGTGGAACCAGCCGGAGCAGACTCAGGAGTCGGAAGACGATGCTTTCACAGACTTGCTGTGTGCCCTGGAGTTGACTGCATCCCCTCTGTGATCCTCTGCCTCTGCCTCTGTCTCTGTCTCCGACCATGGATGACAACACCACCTTTGGGGAGCACCCTGGGGCAGAACTGAAAGCCTCTGTAAACTGTCAGGCGCTTGCCACACAGAAGGAAAGAGAGCCTCATCAAAACTGAACCCACACGTGTTGGATTTTAAAAAGGAAATGTTTATTTTCATGTTATAAGGTGATTACAAACTCCTCTAAAAAAAAGCAAAGATGAATTTAAAATATCGATATACATATTTATCTAAAAAGCAAAAGAGGAAAAGAAAAGCCCTGCAAAATACAGGGATTCATATCATAAAACATTTATACACAAAAGCTTGTATACTGCAAGACTGAATTACACACCAAGGATCTTATTCAGATACAAATGTTCCTCCTCAGAAGAGTCTCGTTGGTTGATTTTTTTTTTTACAAAAGTTTAAAATATCTTAAAAATATTTTGAAGTTTTAAAAAAAAGTCCTGATGAGCCAGACATATTTCTGGAAGGAGGCAAGACCCACGTTCTCAGCTTTCTCTTGTGCTAAATACAGAGTCACAGTTGCTAGGGATTCGAAAATTAATTGGGGGGGAAAAAAAAGAAAGAAATGGAGCCAACATCTCAATTTGAAGCCAAATATATAACAAGATGCTCCATCCTTCAGGGAACTGTCAGAACACGTCTGTAGTGACACCCACAAGAGAACAATGAAACACAGCTTCCTATTAAAACAAGAGCGTTCTGAGGGCCAGGCGTCAACAGGGTGCTGGGGGCGAGGGAAATGCTGTTCTCTGGCTTCCGGGTTGCTCACGCCCCTCTCTGAGTTTTCATATCTGGGACTTGGTTTGGTTTGTGCTTGTTGGATTTTTGCACGGTGCTATGTACAGCATCCACGTGGACAGCCCAGCCTGGGGCTGCCTGACACTGGGGTCTCGGGCCGGAGGGGCCTCGATGCTTCTCTTGGATCCTTCCTGGCCTGTGTCTGAGGCTTGAGGGGAAGGAAGGCACCTCTGCCTTTAGCACTGGCTGCCCAGAGCATTGCCTGGTCCAGAAGGGCAGTGTTGGGAAGATCCCGACTGGGCCATGGACCACTACGTGGTGGCACCTGGGTGACACTGATCACCCCGTGCTAGGCTGAGGCTGGCTCACTCCCCTTGTGCTTCACCACCTTCTCTGGGGGGGTGTGTGTGTGCTGGGGATCTGGGGTGAGAATGAGGGAACAGAGGTACAGAGAGGGGGCTGTGTGTCACCCAGAAATCCCCCAAGGCCACTTCTCGCTCCCTGGGAATGTCCTGCATGGCCTCAGGCTAAATCTTGCCTAAGGGATTCTGCCTCTTGTACACCAACTGGCTTCACTGGGCCTCAGTTTCCTCACATGCAACCGGGATCTCAATTCCTAGCTCAGAGGGTTGTTGGGTGCAGTCACCCGTCCCACGGAGCCGCAGCGTGAGGTCCGGCGGGCCCGAGGATGGTGAGAGGGTGGGGGTGCTGCTCTCCTCGTCCCTGAATGCTGGGGGACAGAGCGCTTTCCTTTTTCATAAAGGCTCGTCTTTGGTCTTCAGGGAGAACCATGGGGAGCTGCACTCACCACTCGCCACACACCCCTTGGAGAACTGGAGCAGCTGGAACTGACTGCAGACAGTCTGGCTCCAGTCCCTGCTCTCTGTGCCCAGTCTCTTCCTCACTCCGGACCTCATTTCCCCCATTTCACAAGGGCGTTGATGGGGAGGCATTGACCATGCAGGAAGGTCCACTGCAGACACTGACACGACCCGTGTCAGGCTCGCTGAAGCATCTCCCTGGGTGAGATTTATCCTGAGGCCCTTACCCATTTCTGAAGCCTCAGAAAGTTCTTTAACCATCTCCCTTGCATCCCTTCTCAGAGCCGGCAGACTGGGCTACGTGGGGGCACCAGAATTTCTGACCCATCCCAAGGCAGAGAGCGGGCGGAATGCCTGTTCTCCAGAGACAGGAGGACCAGAGTCATGAGCTCCAAAGACAAGTTTCCTTTATGTGGAGACATACAAAAGTCACACATCATTACACCTTGTACTCACAGAGCCAAGTTCTGCAGATACACAAGGGCTAGGGCGGGTAGACAAGAGGGTCCAACTGGAGACAGGTGCACCGGGAGATTGTCGAGGAGCGGGCTTGGGTAAAGTGGCTGACCTTCCTTCCAGGCAGGGCCTGGGGACTTGGTCTGCATGTGTCTTTGGTCTAGAATTTGGTCTGCGAATCTTATAGGAAGAAGCCTTTCTCAGGCCATTTCCAGAATGTTGCAATTTGCCTACCAACCCAAAATACTGTAGCCTTTCACCGGAGGGGAGATATTGTAGCCTGAAATGACCACAAATGCCCAGGCAGCCACAGTTTGACAAGCCCCCCGTATCCCCACATATCGCCTGTCCCCAGTCGTCGACAGTGGTTAGTTTACTAAGTTCCATGAGACAAAGGAAAATAGGTCACATTGCTACTCAGTAAAATTAGGAAACAACAACAAAAATAAAATCAGACACAGCGGCAACCATAAATACATAGAAAAAAAGGAACACACAATTGTTAACGGTTTGGAATAGGACTGGCTATTGTTTGGCAGAGTACATGCTTTGGAAACAGTGAAATGTGAATGTTTGCCAAAGAGGAGAGGTTCAGGATTGCCTCTGCCCCGGGGGAGGGGGACACCAGAGGCTCCTCCCCTCCCGAATTTGGGGAGAGGGTTCCAGGATTCAGAGAGCCCCCGCTCTGAAAACCCGAGCTGGACTTCACTCTCCACACCCCATGAGGCAGTCACTGTCGTCTTTGAGTGACAATGTTTCGGTTTAGTTTAGACTCTGAACTTGGAAGTGACAGTTTAAATGGCACAGTTTAGGTCCAAATGGGGGCTTGG